GTACAATGCCTAATGTAGGGTACACTGTTCATATTGTATGATACCTAATGTAGGGTACTATGTTTACATTGTACAATACCTAATGTAGGGTACACTGTTCACATTGTACGATACCAAATGTAGGGTACACTGTTCACATTGTACGATACCTAATGTAGGGTACACTGTTCACATTGTTCAATACCAAATGTAGGGTACACTGTTCACATTGTACGATACCGAATGTAGGGTACACTGTTCACATTGTACGATACCTAATGTAGGTACTATGTTCACATTGTACAATTCCTAATGTAGGGTACTATGTTCACATGGTACAATACCTAATGTAGGGTACACTGTTCATATTGTACGATACCAAATGTAGGGTACTATGTTCACATTATACAATACCTAATTTAGGATACCTATGTTCACATTGTTAAATACCTAATGTAGGATACTATGCTCACATTGTACAATACCTAATGTAGGGTACTATGTTCACTTGCACATTGTACAATACCAAATGTAGGGTACTATCAGAGCTCCTGATAACTTTTTGAGCAATGTTTTGAGCACCTTTTGAACTCACATTCTACATTACCAAATTATTTTTGAAGTTTGTATGAAATTGACAGTTTTATATACTAATAGATACATGTTTTATGAATTTCACATCAGATATTCTGAAGCTGTCTTTGAAAAAAATCACTTGAGAGAAACATTCAGATTTAGTTGCATAAAAGTATATGGCTATGAAGTCAAGTTTGTTTCAAATGTGCCACAGGGTGCTCACAAAGAGTTCAAGTGTTCAAGTGGAAATGTGCCAATGAGAATATGACTTGAACCATCATTGAACTCCTGATCTCCTTTCACCAGGCCTGTTTAATTAGCAGTTGTAATCAGTAAAGTTTCATTTTCATTGAGATTGTTAATTCTCTTTTATATTTGTGAACTATATTGTGCATTAACTGTGTGTATGTGTACTTCATTTCCAATGTGTTGGTCACATTTGTTTGTGGTTTCCAACAAATATTGTCAGAGGCATTGTTGTGCCCTTGATGCACCAGGAACCTTTTTTAACTTCGTCCTTACAATTTCAACCTTTCCATTGGTACTAAAATACAAGGAATTTTGAACCTAGAATTACCAGAATGGCATGATGTGATGGTACACACATCATCAGGATGCCTGGTTTGTAGTGCCCTCCTTATATACCAATTGCAAGGTGTTATGTTGAGATGCTATGTTTAGTTATTGTAATATTTTAGTTCATACCAGTACTATAATGTGTGGGTCATTGAGGTGAAGGACTATACACCAGTGACAGCAAAGTCCCTTTCATGAGTGTTCATTGATTTACATGCTGTCAGTTCAGTGAGGCATAGACCTGCGGTGCATTATATACAGTTCATCCTCCCCTTGCTGGGCTTAATGACTGGCCAGGATACAGCACACTAGCTGTTCCATGAACCCCCCTCTTTGTGTGTCTGCAGCTTCACCTGCTGGTATATAGAAGATTGCCGATGTCTCTCACTCTGTGGTAGATATCATGTCTTCTGTGCTTGAGCTGACCTACTTACAGTGCTGGCTGGCTGACTGACTGACTGACTGACTGGCTGGCTGGCTGTGGGTAGTGTCATTGGTACAGTGAGATGGGCAGACATTAGGCAGGTACACTCTGTGAGGGACAAAGTTGAACAGGCAGAGGCTTGCCTGATACAAGAAGGAAGTGACAAGGGTCACTGATACGGGTGGAGAGGCAGGGTTTGGGAGGGGCGGGGTCTGTGTGCCTTGTGCTGTCAGGACAGAATAGAAGGTCATCTAGCTGTGTTTAGTGTCAGCATATGCTTGTCCTTCAGGAAGGAGCATGGCCATGGCAATGTGCCACATTACTATGTTGCTTACATCTGTGTGATGTTAAAGGTTGATGCGGATGATAATTGTTGTTTCCTCAGCATACATAGGTACCAAGTGCTGCCCTGCATTGATAGGGCAACATTTCGACTTGCCTCTACCTTGTCCACTTCAGTGACTCTCAACATGTAGAACTGATTACATCACCTGGGGAATATTCTACTCAGGAATGTTTTGTCTGGATAAATGTGTCATTTAGCTCCAGTTCTATAAACAATACTGTCATCCCTCTTCATCCTATGTCTGCTCAGTTGAAGTGTGTTGAATGGACAGGTACTACAAACATTACAAAAAGTAAAGGGGGACAGATAAGACCACAGTATTTTTGGTATTTACAGATTTAAATTACCGAAGATAAAATATATTTGTCAAGCTCAGTTTTTTAAGTTGTACTTTGTTAAGTGGTGAAAAAGAAAGTTCAGCTAGTGCATTCCTTATTTATACACGATATTGAGTATCTTAACGGTTACATGCAAAAATGCGAATGTAACATTTAAAAAGTTTCGTTACTTTTTGTCCTGGTTTTTTTTCTGCTTTATCACATACGATGTGACTAGATACGCTGAAACTACTTTTATTTTATTTTGATTGTGGCATTTGGCAGACTACCGATTGACCAACGCGATGCATAGTAAACACTGTACTGGAGGGATATTATGAAAGGTCAGGATATGAAGTGTGCCCCTCAGTATCACTCTAAGATTCATTGATAAAAATACTGCAGAAATAGGTATGTACACAGAAGGGTGTAGTCTGCTGTCCTTTGATTTTTGTAATGTCCCCTCACAAGACAATGACTGTTGAACTAGATACATACCGGACATAGAGCATGTGTTGAATGAAATGTCCGTGCAAAACATGATGCTTGAAATACCTTTAGAGGAATCAAAAATCACAATTGAAAAAGGGGGCATGGGTGGCCCAGTTGCCTGAGGCCCTGCAAATTGCTGTGCAGAGTTGTCTCTTGGACACGCCAGAAACCTGTGATTGTGGGACCGCTCTGATAGGTTTGTCAGCACCATACCCATGCTCACCAAAGTGGTATACATCTGAGACCTGCGTCACTTCGGGCTTTCTTCCAACATCAAGCTGACACTCCGTGATACAACTTGAGTACTGTTGAAAGTTCTCACTCGCAAATAGAGAAAGGTCTTTGTATATATTAATTGTTTCAAGAATGATGAATTTGCTGTAGCATCTGTGTAGTGGGTCGTCATCCATTTGTCATCCATAGATGGATTTGCTGTAGCGTCTGTGTAGTGGGTTGTCATGCATAGATGGATTTGCTGTAGCGTCTGTGTAGTGGGTCTTCATCCATAGATGGATTTGCTGTAGCGTCTGTGTAGTGGGTTGTCATGCATAGATGGATTTGCTGTAGCATCTGTGTAGTGGGTTGTCATGCATAGATGGATTTGCTGTAGCATCTGTGTAGTGGGTCGTCATCCATTTGTCATCCATAGATGGATTTGCTGTAGCATCTGTGTAGTGGGTCGTCATCCATTTGTCATGCATGGATGGATTTGCTGTAGCGTCTGTGTAGTGGGTCGTCATCCATAGTTGGATTTGCTGTAGCATCTGTGTAGTGGGTCGTCATCCATAGTTGGATTTGCTGTAGCATCTGTGTAGTGGGTCGTCATCCATAGTTGGATTTGCTGTAGCATCTGTGTAGTGGGTCGTCATCCATAGATGGATTTGCTGTAGCATGTGTGTAGTTGCAGGGATTTATCCAGACCTGCTCAGAGGCCAATATTCGGTCCTAAGTCAGCAGCCAATGTCATTAAATATTCCCAATTTGGAACTAAACATTTCCCAATTCATGTTCCTATGTAGAACAAATACCTAATGTTGTAGCCTTGTAGAAGTAACCTGTGTTCACTTATAACAAGGGGGGGCGCGGGTGGCCCAGTCGTCTGAGGCACTGCGATTCGCTGTGCAGAGTTGCGTCCCTTCGGCACGCCAGAAACCTATGTTTGTGGGTTCGAATCCCGGTTCGTCCGATTATGTTTCTAGGTTTGACCGCACTATACCGTGCTCGTGGGTTTCATCGAAGTGGTAAACGTCTGAGACCTGCATCACTTCGGGCTTTTCTCCCACATTTAGCTGACAAGCTTAACTGGAATAATGTTGAAAGCGGCATTAAACCCAACTCACTCACTTATAACAAGACCAATAAATAGGAAAAGGATTGAATGTTTCATTTATTTATACTATTTAAATGCAATCTCAAAATACCTCTGAATTTAAGAAAATATGAACTATCCCAATCATGAACAAAATAATGATTTTTCACAATTTGCCTCCCAGGGGCACTTAGTTAAGAATCCAAGCTAAATCCCTGGCTTCAAAATTATCTTTTACAGATTTCTGGGAGAGATGAAACAAAATTTGAACTCTTGACAATATAAAATGTATAAAATATGTTGAGGTCAATTAAATTGTACAAGAATTTCTATGATCTTTATCAACCTCTAAATTATCCCTAATGACAAATAGGCTAGTACTCTATATGTTAGATAACAATATTTGTTTTTTAGAGTTACAAGGAAAGTAATATTAATTAAGAATGTTTTTCTGTTTTGAAGTGTTGACCCTAAGCAACATGCCATATCTTGTTTCAATAAGTGTATAACATTGAGTAAAGGTTTTTCAGTGTCTCATTGTTTATTAATGAGACATAATTGTTGTGGCAAATGTTGTTGTGGATGACCCATCACATCCTTTGTACCCAACTGTGTTTGTGGAAATGGTTGAGGATTTCAGGAACATGTTCAACCTATACCTGGATGCCAGAGTGTTGCGATTCTTTCTGTCACAGGTGTGTCTGTGTGTGTATTGAGATTGCTTATTCTCTGAGCCTTCTGTGTCAGTTCAGTAATCAGGTAGAAATGGTTGACAATGTCTCTGATGTTGAGAGTGGTGGAGTGTCACTGTGACTTAGCTGGTGTGGCTTGTGACCGGTTCCCTCCACCATAGCCCACACTGTCTGACCACCTGTAGGCTGGGGAGGACACTAGTGGTGAACAGTTGGGTCTGGATTGTCTGTGGAGTGTTTGGTGAGGAAGTGGGTTGATGTTCTGATATGATGCTTCTTTCAGTGGTATTGATATTTACATGGAGTTAGTCAGCCAGCCACCAGTCTGCAGCGGCCACCAACAGCCTGCAGTGACCTACTTTCCGCCTCCATAGCTTCTACTCCTGTGAGAGCCTCACTAGCTGATCACTGCACAGTCCTTCAGCAACATGGCTTGATCTTTGGATGTTCACAGATGCAACACATCACACATCATTGCAGATGACAGGAATGAACAACTGATTTGTAATGACCCTTGTTTGGTGGGAGCACAGTGTCAACTTGGTACATACCAGACTCATGTTGGAACTCTTGCTGTTATTTGTTTTGGGTAAAGATTTCCTTCAGTTGTATTCAAGCTCCAGTCGTGTCATGTGGTGTGGTTAAACTGTTAATTTTGGAGTTAGACACCATGTGCTTTATTTTCCATCATTAATAGTCAGATAATTTTGTGTATCATAGTCAAGAGTTCAATAAATATTTTTGTTGACTGAATGCTAGCCAGTAGAAAGACAGATGCCAGTAAACATGGTTAAGGCATAAGCTGAAAGCATCAGTACCCCAGTTATCAATGATTAAGTTCTATATAACGCACAGTGTGGTGTCTACTGGACCTGTTGCTATGGTATGTTACAGATAGGCTATTGACCTCTTGTGCAGGTGTAGTTCACATAGCAAGTGCTTGTTTGGACATAATGCTTAATGTCCATTTTTTCATGATCCTTCCTCATGTTCCTGTGATGTATTTTGTTACAATAAAGCCACATGAAATAATGACTGTCATTGCTAATACTGACTTACGAATGTCTTGTGTTTTTGCCACTCAATACAATGACCTGCACGTTAGTCTCATGTTTAGTCATGTTCCTCAATGTTCCATTGAAAGATTGCCTGCCAATGTTAGTATGGGCAAGTACAATACAAGGCTGCTTGATATGGAAACTTACATAATTTCTGGTTTATTGATTATTTTCTAAGTGGCTAATGTGTAAAGTCATATGTCTTGATATACAGGGCTTCAGTTTGTAGGCCGTGTATTGTAACTTTTGGTTTCTCCTGATCAGCAGTCAACTGAGAATTGCAATATGAGAACTGATACCTGGCGCAGTCTTGGTGATTGTATACAATGTAATTTTTTTACCAATAGAAAAAGCTTGATGAAAGCATACATAAGCCGACCCCTTTCTACAGAATCTTTTTTCTGATCCTAACAGTTTGGCTTATCTGGTCATATACAGTAGTTATGATAGTTCATTTGAACTTGTCTTTCAAAAACTACAGAGTATGCAGTAAGTATGAGACCAATTAGGCTATTTCAGCAGGCGTACACCAGAGCTAATTTCCGAAACACAATTACGAGCTAATTTACTTTCCGAGTCAAGCCTATATTTAGAACCGTTATATACATCTAAAACATAATTTATTTTTTTTAAATGTTTTTATTTCTCTAAATGTTTACTCATTTTGGGAATGAAACCAAATAGAGTGATGATAAGATGAGTGTAAACATATTGGTTACCCAATGAAAAATAAACCAATTAAAATAGAAACCGCCAGAGGGCCGAGTAAAAATTCAATTGCTCAAAAAGTTATCTGGAGCTCTTCTGAACTTGGCTTTGTACATATATTTCTGCAGATTTTGATGTTATTATTAGACAATACTAGTAATCGCAATCATAACATTTACATTTTGCATAAACATTCCTAAACATGCCCCACTTGCTTATATATTACCTCGGAAGTGAGCAGTGTGCACATAACATGAAAGTAGGCTCTGTCTCATCATGCTCATTGTGTGACACAGTCATAACTTCCCGCTCTGAGAGCTTTGTTGCAAAGCTTAGATGTGTGTGTGCCGAAGACAATAACAAGTACCTGACACATGAAACAGGCTGTTTGATTGGCTGTTATCTATATTAAGTGTTGTTACAATTGGCTAACACTCACATATACATGTAAAGCTCTCGCTAATATGAGGAATGGTAAGTGTTTCATAGACACTTTTGATTTTTTTGTCGAATCAATATTTTGGAAAGAAGGGAATATGACATGAATTGGGCATAAATTTGATAGGACCACAGTCATAGACTTCTGTTCATGATTCATAATCTCAGGGAGGTCAACATGAAGTGGAAGAGTGAGCGGTCAATGGTTAGCATCGTTTTGGACATGTTGGACTGATCGTTAGTGCCAAGAATAGTGGTAGTCTTTTGTTACAAGAGGGTCCAAATTGAACTTTGCCAGTGGTTGCCTCTTTTGCACTACATTTTGCAATGAAGTGTGCTAGTATCCTTTATGATTGTTGGTTTGTCATTTTTGTCTAATCAGTATCCGTGACCAATGCCAACCATGGGCTCCATCGAAGTAGTAAATATTTGGGACCATCATTTTTTGGCTTTCTTCCCTCGTTGCCCCAAAATTGACACTGTGATACAGTGATCCCTCGCTATTGTGCTCTTCGATAAAGCGCTACCTCGGTTACTGCGCGCGGTAACGCATGGCTCCCAAAATGTATGTACACCATTAATACTGAGAGTTTTACACAGACATGATTGTATTGTTGTTCGTTGTTCATTTGCACACACCGGTAACGCTTCTCTTTGCATAATCAACCGTTTATCGCTGAATGGAGTTCTAATAATCTGTTTGAAAACATCCGCGGCAAGTCCCGGAAATACGATTGTTCTACTAGTTAACTTTTCACACTATACTTAATTTGATCTTAGAAGCGCATGCATGCAATAAAAGAGAACCACAAGCGAAGTTTATATTCTTAATTAGTGGGCAATCCAATTTGAGGCGACACTGTCAACTCACATGTTGCTGTCACAACATGGCGGTCATTCCTTTTGATTCGGATCAAGTAACCGTGTCTATTACTACCATTATCGATCGATATTTTCTTGTAAGTAGACTACATTCACATTGAATGTGACAGTTAAGGCTTGTAAATAATAACAAACGGCGAAAACAATGGATGTATATTTTTACACTATGAATGGTAAACAACTTGTATCATTGCAATGTGCGAGACAAGGCGAAGATCGTGAGATTGGCCGAGCGCGCTCCCCCGCCTCGGCCTCGGTTAAACGGCTCATCGTCTATAACGCCCACCAATTATTTGGACCCCATAGATAGCGTTGTAGCGAGGGACCACTGTATAACTGAAATATGTATCAAAGTCTCACTCACTCACGCATGCACGCACGCCATAATCATAATTTAGAAAACCTTTCTTTGACAGAACATGTGTTAAAATTACTCATTTCACTTGTGCAAGATTTAAACTAATTTCATGATTTTGTGATTTTTGTTTTCCGGTTTCAGAACGTTCCCTCAGAAACAGATGAAGTACCTTCCGATCAGAAATCTGCAGAAACTGGTAGCCAGGATGCATTGAATGGCTCATCAGAGGATGACCTTGCACTGATAAACTTTGTGGGTATGAAGATGGGGGATGGGATTGACAAGACAACTGATCCAGGAGATGACAGTGAACCAAAGGAATTGGAAAATAATCCAACCAATGGCACGCCACATATTGATCATCTAGCTAAAATTGACCAATCAAAGCCCACAAAAGAAGACATGTTGAAGAGGGAGTCCCGAGCCAAGCTGTCTCCTGGGAGGCTGCAGACCGGGGGAGACAAACCTCACAATTACCCTATTGTCACCAGTCTCCACAAAGTGCAACTTAATATCAATCTTTCCGAGAATGAAGTCAACGATGGGACCGATTCTGGGATATCTTGTTTGTCAAATTGTGATTCCAAGAGCTCTGAGTCCACAAATGATGCTTTGTCTACAGACAATAATGCAGCTCTAGAAACAGAAAGAACTGACCTCACAAATGGTGCTGGAGAAGAAACAAAGGTAGACTCAGAAATAACATTAAAGCTTTCTGCCAATTCAAGTGTTTCAAATTCATCTAAAGACAATTTAGGAAAACTGAGTGTTTCAAAAACATTGCCGAAAGCTCGAAAATCTGTTCAATCATCAGCTAAAACTTCCATAAAGACTGTCAACTTAGCACCTATAACTAACAGAACTGTCAAACTGGCTGACCTAGAAAGTGCTTTAAAATGTGATAAGGTTATAGAATCTGATTCCATGAGAAAGGACGGCAGTGAAGAAGATCTCATGAACAATAATAATGATTCTGCAGGGGAAAGTCGAACTGATGAGAAAGGTGGAATGAAGGTAAAGAAGAAGAGGAAGTTTAAGGCAGGAAACTACAGTTTCCCAGGCCAAAAGAAAAAGAAGAAGTATTTAAAGAAAATGGATGATAGTTTAGACAATAGTTGTAACCACAGTGTGAGCAGCAATGCTAGTTTAGATGATATGGATGGATACGACGACCGAGTGGACAATGATGACATTTTCAATAGCAGCACAGAATGTCCACCAAAGGGGAACACCAGTGCCACTGATGTTATGGCTGTTCTCTCACAGAATTCCCATTTAGCTTTCAAGGCAGCAGCAAAGACAAAAATAACCGCTCGGAAAAAAATTAGGACTTCTACATCTCCTCATGCGAAAAGTGTCATGGATATGCTGAACTCATTGCGGAAATCACAAAATAACAGGCAGCAAGAAGATAGTGATGTGAGTAGTGTATTTGTCCCCCATTACACCCGTTACCCCCATTACCCCAGAAGATTAGGGGGTCACAATGGTTGATGTGAATTAATAATACTTGTTGATGACCAGGAAACATTGTCACGGCCTAGACTCTACAATTAGTTTGTCAAGGGTAGATTACTCACTGACAGACAGCTGTAACAAAGATCTTATGTATAACTCATCACAGTGTTCAACAACATTCACACACTGTGGTTTAGGGATCTCTCTTTAACAGGACTGGCTGTTAAAAATTGTTTAAATCTTTGTCCAAATACCTTTGTTCAGGCCTGGCTATGTATTCTAATGAGCTTCCTAAATAGCAAACTGATGAGCAGAACTCTTACAATAGTTGTATCCCTTCCTTGTACGTGTTTATTAACTGCTCCGACATAGTCAGACTTTGTGAAAGAAAGTCTTTAGTCCAACTAAGCAGTGCCAGGTACATGAAGTAAGATTGGCGATAGGTGGAATTATGAAATGTGGTCCCAAACATCTTGACCAATAAATACCTGGCAATGCTGATATGTTAAATCATAACTTATATATGTACTTAAGAACAGGGCTTGAATTTGTCACCAACATACATCCAGATAACATGGTTAATCCCATGCCCCCTGTCAAATATGATGATAATGCTTTGTCAGTGCTTTCCAAGCCATTGAACATGTTACAGCTGTTGATTAAAGGTCCCAGGCTAACTCAATTGATTTCATCACAACCTTGTGACTTGTGTGGATAAGAATGTACAGTGATCTGGTTCACTTTTTTATCTCCTAATTTAGTGAAGCTTCAGTGTGGTATGTCCATTTAGCATCATCAGAAATAATATTTTGCTTAAACCTGTTCTTGTGATAAAAGCTGGCCTACCTTTAGAATACAGTACCACAAACTTTTCAAACACGTGATCATACCCTATGACGTAATTTGTAGTATTTTGTTGCCAGTCACACCGGCGAAACAGTGCCCTGTGATGTCAGGGGTCATCGGGTGTGCATTAGCTCCTCCCAGTGATCTATCATCTCTACACGCAATGTCATTGAAAACGCCCTGCGGTGTTGAGAGTTTTGAGTATTTGTTTACTATTATAGCCTGCGGCAGCGCATTTTAGAGCAAGCGCTAGTTTACGAAAGCACTTTTATTTTTTATATATTTTTTATTTCTTTTTTCTCGTAATTGAAGTGGATAAAATGGTTATAAATGGGAACTAATATACATGTATTATTTTTTGGTTCATTAATTTTCATTATTATGCACAAGAATGCAGTTTATGAGGGATATTATATTGGCGCTGAACACATCCAAATGTCGCCAATGTTAGGGTAGGTTACCCCAAACTCTATCCTTAGCCCTTGGATCCCCTTTACGATAAATCACCCCTTTACGATCATTAGGGTTAGAACCCGTTTAGTGGCTATTAGATTACCTGAAGTCTATCCTTAACCCTTGGATCCCCTTTACGATCAATCACCCCTTTACGATCATTAGGGTTAGGTACTCGTTTAGTGGCTATTATAGATTATATAGCGGCTCCTAATATTCTTCACCAAAAACGTCGAGTATAAAGGATGAAATGGTTTGTGTCGAATATTTTGGCTACTGGAAACTGTCCTGGAACATTCACACAAGCCACTTTCAATGGCTACATTTTTTCAGTACTGATTCAAAAGCGAACTAGCCGTTGTGTCGTGACTAGTCATGCTTATTCCTCCATCGTTCCTTACTATTATCCACATCATCCTTACAGTTTTCCCTACCACACTTTTCTGTCACAAAAATCACCCGACGAATTATTAAATACCATATCATTCATGCGTACTCGCGAGTTTGACGTCTGACGTCTGACGCCTGGAGCCGTTTTCAGTTCGCGGCATATCGGCTCATTCCTCACCACTCCGTATTTTGTAGATTACGGAATGGAATGAGTGTGCCTAAACGCATCAGGATCATTCTTAAATGTCCGTAGTCACCACGCCTACCCGTAACCTTCGTAAGTGTCCGTCACCTATTCGACCCTTTTCGTTCAGTTCCGTAACGTCATAGGCATCACTAGGTAAATTTGCACTAAGTTTAACAGTGTGGACGTTGCTCAGTCGGTTAGCTGTCAGGCTAACAATCCGAAGGTCGCGGGTTCGCGTCTGACAGATTCTCACAAAATTTGTTGCTTGTCTTGAGACATGTGACCTACGGCAGAGATCGTCCTCACAGAAGTTGTGGTACTGTATTCTAAAGGTGCTCCTAAAAGTCTTATCATTACTTCTACCTGTTCTATAGATGTAGTCACACGTCATTTTTCGACATTGTCTGTAGATATCCTGAATTGCACTGATGCATGCGAAACTTTGCAGCTAAGGTTCTGTAGGTATGTCAAACCCTTCACTTCACAGTGGTGTTGAATATGTTGTAACAAGAGAATCTTTATGCCTCAGTTGTTTTAGTTATATTCAAATGGCCTGACGGAAAAACTCCTGATATGCCGGTCTGGTAGAGTTATCACTTCTAAAACAGAAAGACAAAGGTGCTTTCCTCAAAGTGCAGATGATGTTCCTGTAGAACAGTAGAAAGGTCAATTGTCATCCCCCGCATGGAGGAAGGACACCAGTTACACTCATACTCAAGGCTGGCACAAAGTCAGCCTTTCTGACTGGCAGTATATCAGTAGTCTTGCTAGTCAAATAATTATCATTTGTGATTTTGTTAGGGGCACAATGGGTATATCTGATTATACTAAGTGTGTTTCAATTTTAGTTGTCAGGTATGAAGTAATGGTAACGAATGGACCACAGGCCTAGATGGGAGTGTGTGAGAGAGTATTGTATGTATTGTATGTAGACCAGGGGCATACTGGTAGTAGGCTGGGAGAATACTACCGCCTAAGATGGGAGAATACTACATGCTTAGATGTTAGAATACTACAGGCTTCGGTAGAACACTACAGCCTTAGATGTGAGAATACTACAGCCTTAGATGTGAGAATACTACAGGCTTAGATGGGAGTATATTACAGGCTTCGATAGAACACTACAGCCTTAGATGTGAGAATACTACAGCCTTAGATGTGAGAATACTACAGGCTTAGATGGGAGAATATTACAGCCTTAGATGGGAGAATATTACAGCCTTAGATGGGAGAATACTACAGGCTCAGATGGGAGAATACTACAGGCTAAGATGGGAGAATACTACAGGCTCAGATGGGAGAATACTACAGGCTTAGATGTTAGAATACTACAGCCTTAGATGGGAGAATACTACAGCCTAAGATGGGAGAATACTACAGCCTTAGATGGGAGAATACTACAGGCTTAGATGGGAGAATACTACAGCCTTAGATGGGAGAATACTACAGGCTTAGATGGGAGAATACTACAGGCTTAAATGGGAGAATACTACAGGCTTAGATGGGAGAATACTACAGCCTTTGATGGGAGAATACTAGATGGGAGAATACTACAGGCTTAGATGGGAGAATACTACAGCATTTGATGGGTGAATACTCAACGAAAGAAATTAACAGTTTATATCTACTAGTCCTTATACTGATAACATATATCAGAACTCTTAAAAAGTCAATTTTCTACTAATCCTTATGATACCTCAACTATTGGGCATTGTGGCAAGGACTTTCGGACTAATGCCAATTTCTAACGCTGGTACTACAGGCTGAGATGGGAGAATACTACAGGCTGAGATGGGAGAATACTGCAACCTTAGATGCGTGTGTCTGTGAGTGTATTGTATGTAGGCCAGGGACATACTGGTAGTAGGCTTGGAGAATACTACAGCCTAAGATGGGATTGATCCCCGTTCTCATCATAGCAAAAGATGCTAAAAGATGGTACTGGTTACCTTGCCTTGTGCTTGGCAATAAGGGGCTAAAACAACGACTGGTCAACTTGGAGTCAGTTTACTGTGTCTGAGTGAGGCATTCATGTCAAATTGCGGCAGGGTATCTCAGTGAGCTAGCACTAAAGGATCAGCATTAGTCCGTACCAGTACAAGCAGCCACAACACGCATGCACACAAGCGTGTGCGCACATTGCTATTCAAGTGAAATAATCTTGATTGTGACATTAGACCCCATTTCATTTCACCTGACCTCACCTCGCCTAACCATTGGGCGGTCGGGTTGCCTCGTGGTTAAAGCGTTGGCTTGTCACGCCTAAGACCCGGTTTTGATTCCTGACATGGGTACAATTTGTGAAGCCCATTTCTGGTGTCCCCCACCGTGATATTGCTGGAATATTGCTAAAAGCGGCGTAAAACCATACTCGCTCGCTCACTCACTCACTCACTCACTCACTCACTCACTCACTCACTCACTCACTCACTCACTCTAATTATACCAGGATGATTTTAAACAGATGAAAGACATGTACAACCTCTGACTCCCTTGCATGCCATCACATTCATGTGGGTAGGCTGTCAGCATGCTCAGTATGTCACACAAAGTGACTTCATAAACTAGAAATATACTGCAATATAAAATCTAATCCATGTTTTAGTTTTGCATTTAACACATGTTCTCCCACAAACCACCGCATAAACATCCATAACGTTAGTTGCTTACAAACTGTTTGAGGTTGGTTTTTTCATTGGTTAATCTGTGTATGACATGCGACTTCATGGGACCATTTAAAAAAAACCTCATGACTTTACATAGTGTCAAATAATGATCGCGATTATTAAGATTCGTTTTATCGTAAACAGTACTGAAGAATCAATAATTAAATTTTCCTTTCATGAGATTCTTTCTTTGGCACAATTTCAGTACAAGAAATAATGCACAAGAACCTTGAAACCATCTTGTGACATTATGATCACATGTTTTATTTTTTTATCAGATGTGCATTGTGGTATATTGCACATGCTTGAACAAGCTAAGTTGTTGTAAACACTGATGCATGTTTTTTTGGCAATGTTTTGAGAAATAAACTTACAGAATTACTGCTATGTCAAGAGTTACCAACAGCATTTTAATGGAA